GTAGGGTAGTCTAAGGTCCATATTCCGACGGTCGTGTGACCCCGCTATGGCCTTGAGTAGATTGATAATAGTACGATTCGTTCTTTCTGGCTGCTTATTTCCTTCAGGGTGTGCTGGGGTGGTGTGAGTCGTATGGATGCGAAGTATATCACAGACGTCGCGCACGAGCTCACTTTGGAAGTTGGCGCCGCAGTCCGAGTGAAGAGATAGGGGGCGCCAAAACGGTAGACCCAAGCAGACAAGAATGCATCGGCAACGGTAGCCACATCTTGGCAAGGTAAGGACACGGCTGCCGCCCACTTGATGAAATAGTCAACGATGACTATTATGTACCGGTTGTGGCTGCGTGTGAAGGGTAAGGGCCCCATCACGTCTATACCGACTCTCTCGAAATGGGATCCGGTAGCCATGGATTGTAGGGGTGTTCGAGGTCGAGGATTAGGACCTTTAAAGCTTGTGCAGGTCGGGCAAGTGTTGCAGAAAGTGGCGACCTGTTCTCGAAGATACGGCCAACAGAATCATTGACGAGCAGCTGCCTCGGTTTTAGCCTGACCGACGTAGCCCAAGTCATGGTGTAAGTCCGTCAGAACAGGGTTGACAAGGCTCCCAGGGACTACTAAATGAGGAGGCATGTGAATGCCTTCCTTAAAGAAAAGGAGTTCGTTTTCCATAAAAAGTTGGAGCCAATGGTTGCGTAGAAGTCTGGCTGTCTCGGACGAACCGCGTAGATCGCTATCTGTAGGGCGACGCTTGCCGTGAAGCATACGGTCATAGATGATGGCTGTGCCGGGGTCCGTACTCTGAGCGACCGCACAACGGTACGTGTAGGTTCACTGATGATAAGGGCGGAGATCGAGTCGGTGGGGAGCGACATCGGAGTCTCTCTGGGGTCAGATGGGCGTCTGGATAGAGCGTCAGCGTTTGTGTGTTTGGGGCCGGCATCCCCTGCTCCTGTTGGGCAACCGTTCCTCTTTCAAGCCGGACCTTGACTGTTCTACCGCTGAATCGGTATTCGGCACTAAGGTCCGACTACCTGTCAAGCTGATCTCACCAACCCCTCCAAATGCAGTCCAGGATGCTGCCAACCTCCTGCACTCTCTCCGACATTTAACAGGAACGCCTTCACCTGTTCCACCCAGGCCCTCTGTCTCCGAGTCTTATCTGGAAGAGACTTGGCTGCATCATTTCACGTCTTTTTACGATGTGATAGAGTCCACCGGCCACTGGAGCCCCCTACGACGGCCCCTTCTGGATGGCCTCTCGACGTAAGAGTACCTTCCACCTCCTTCGCGGAACAGGAGTGGTCAAAATTGTTCTCATCTGGATCGCCGCTTCCTGTAGACGAGTCATCTATCTAGTCCTCTAGT